GGCAGGGTCCTGGGGGGAGGGGGTTCTGTGGACTCTGCTGACTTCCTTTCCCAGAGTCCAGGCAAAGAAGGCGCCTGGCCTGGGAAAGTCCCTGGCACGAGGGCTACTCGGGTCCCCTCTGCAAATTCCCAGTGTGCGTGTGTGTGTGGGGGGGCACAGAGACCTGGCTGTGTCCAAGCAAAGTGGAGCCAGGGAATCTATTCCGACCACGGCACCCCAGGAGCATGGGGCGCTCAGAGTGGAACTGGGTGCCACGGGCCAGCCCTGACTTCCAAGGCAGAGTCCCGGTGGTGCAGTGGGTTAAACATCTGGCTGTTCAATGCAAGGTTGGCAGTTCAAAACCACCAGCCACTCCGAGGGAGAAAGATGAGGCTTTCTACTCCCGTAAAGAGGGACAGTCTCGGAAACACAGTGGGGGCAGTGCTGCCCTGTCCTACAGGGTCGCGGAGTCCGAATCGGCCCGACGGCAGTGAGTCTGGGGCTTGCTTTTCATCTCTGAGTGGACTTGAAAACCTGCACTGCACGTGCGGCCACCTGGGCTGTGTGTGTGTGTGGGCGGGGAAGGGGCTGAAGGGCTAGGAAAGGCTGGAGAGGACCAGGAGGACTGTCCTCTCCTGAGAGAGCCCCCAGGGTGGGCACCGGCTGTGTCCTGCCTCCCATCCCCACACTGTGTGGGCAGGCTCAGCCCTCACTTGGCTGGGCTCTGGGTGGCTGGTCACTGAGAATGCCCCTTCCCAGGGGTGCCAACACCAACACGTGCCCATGCTACAGGTGGGAACCGAGGCCCACAGAGGCACAGGACACCCAGACAGCAAGAAGCAGATGTGGGTGGCAGATCCCCACCCCAGGGGCCTGGGGCGATGAGCTGACCGTCCCCCGGCCTTAGAGAGCATCCTGGGATCCCAGGGGGACAGGAAGGTCACCTGGTCTGTCACCCTATCATTTTGTGGGCCCCTTTGTTCATTAACCCCCTGGGGCCCACCTCTGAGGGTGGGTGGGCATGAGGACCAGGCACAGAGAGGGGAGAGGGTGGTCTGGGGTCACACAGCACAGCATGGTCAGCACCTACCTGGGCTGAGCAGGCACGGTTCATTGTCTGGGCCAAGGAGCAGGTTCCGGGCCAGCTTGCGGGGGTCAGCTTTCTGCGGGGTGCAGGAGGGTGGGCAGAGCGAGGACCTTCGCCGCAGAAAGGTCTCCTCCTTCATGCTGTGGGCGGCTGGGGGCTTCTGGGGAGAAGCAGTGCATGTGGTCACACCCCCGAGTCTCCCTCCAGGCTCCTGGGTGGGGACCAACCAGGCAGCGTGGTCTAAGCCTTGGGCTGGCTTGGACGTGGGACTGGGGGCCGTGGGACCGGGGGCTGTAGGATCCAGGGTAGTGGGACCGGGAAGAGGGTTGGCAGGGAGGGGTGGGCTGGAATTAGGCCTGTGGGGCCGGCGTCTTTGGTGGTGCCTGTCCCTGAGAATTCTGGTCCCTGGCCCAGTGAGAAATGGAGGCTGTTGACCCCAGAGGCCCCTCCCAGGGAAGGGTGAGACCATCTGGTGCAAGGACTTAGAGAGTGGGCAGGGGAGGCCAGGTGGCCCCCACAGCCCACCCCCCTGCAGTTCAGAGTCCTGGGCAGAACCCTGTCAGCGACCCACCCCCTGCAGACTGTGGCTTCAGCCAGTGAATCAGCCCCTCTGGTGGTGACCCCCCCAGGCCCCTCCCCCAGCAGAACAGGGTGAGTCCTCCATCAGTCAGGCGACGGTGGTTGCACGTTGGGCTGAGAACCGTAAGGTCAGCAGTTCGAAACCATCAGCCGCTCCTCAGGAGAAAGAGGAGGCTTTCTGCTCCCATGGAGAGTGAGTCTCAAAACGGACTGTGATTACATGACTCATTTACAGGCGGTGTGGCTACGTGGGGTGGAATGCTCTATAGTGGGTGTGCTAGAGGCTGTCCGTTCTCCCGGAGAGGACTGGGCGACAGAACTATTGAATTGCAGGATATGTGAATTACATGGCAATAAAAATACTTTCCTCTTTTGACGAGGAACATTAAAAAAAGCAAGAATTAAGTCTCAGAAACCGAGGGGAGCCATTCCGCCCCATCCTGGGAGTCGCTGAGAGTTGGCATGTCTGAGTGTGTGTGTGTGTGTGTGTGTGTGTGTGTGTGTGTGGTGACGGCAGGAGTTTGGCTCGTCAGGTCTGCCTTCCTCCCGAGTCTTCATCCAGAGGCTCCCCTGACACTGGTCTATCTCACAGCCACCACCAGCCGCCACAGGTGACGGTGCTAGGCCTGGACTAGAACCCGGGTCTCCCAGAGGGAAGAGCTCTAGGAGCCATGAAGTGGGTGGGGTGCCACAGGGGTGCTCATCCGCCCGCCCTGGCCACTGCCAAGGGGGCTGACAGGGCAGAGCTGCGTCCATGGCTGGGGGCTGGGGAAGCAGGCTCTCTCCTTCTCCCAGAGAGGGGCTTTAACCAGTGAGCCACCAAGGTCTGTCCACACCCCTGCTCTGAGCCCTAGTGGGGAGGCCTGGCCCCCTGCGCCCCTGCCCACCTGACCAGTTCCACCTTGCACCCTGCCTGCCCTGCTAACTGTACGGCCCTGTCCCACCCCATTCACTGCAGGCAGGGCTGGGTGTTGAGGGTGTGGCCCGGCCCCCTGCCCTCACTGCCCGATCAGCTCACTGCAGGCAGGGCCGGCCTCTTCCAGCAGTTCCTGGGACTGCTCTCCTCCTGGCTCCCCAGCCAGGCAGCTGAAGGCTGGGGTCTCCTCCTCCCTGCCTCTCCCTCTCCCACCAGGCAGCTGAAGGCTGGGGTCTCCTCCTCCCTGCCTCCCCCTCTCCCGCCCCCCAGCCCAGCCTGGCCTCCAGGTCTCCTCACACCAGCCCACAGACTCCTGCCTCATAGTTGGGGGATCCCCGCTCCAAGAGCAGGTACTGGCAGGGTGGGGACCCTCCACCCCCGGAAGACAGGCTGACTATGTTCTACGGCCGCCTCCGGGCAGGCCCCTGGCTCCCTGCCCACCGCCCGGGACAAAGGGTCACTGTGGCCCTGGGCCTTCCTGGGCAGGGCCTCAGACCCACAGGGCTTTCCTGATGGGATTCAGGCTGGGGGGCGGGGGGGGCTGTCAGCGTGCGGGTGCTGAGGCCCTGGGCTGTCCACCACCACCCTGCATGATGACGATGATCCTAACACTAGGCAGCAGGCCAAATGGGTCCCTTGTCCACTTCACAGAAGGACAGTGGGGCTCAGGAGGCCAGCTGGTAGTGGACAGTATCTGCCCTGCTGCCCACCTGCTACCCAAAGTGACACCCCACCCCTCAGCCCTGTCTGGGCTTCGCTTCCTATAAACTCTGCTGGGTGGGAGGCCCTGCGAATAAGAGTCACCGAGACAGGCCCTACCTGACTCACTCCACTGAGCACCAGGTACCATGAGGGAGGGGACACAGGCCCCATGGGGACACCTGTGTCCACCCAAGTGTGGAAGGGCTGGCGCTCCTACAGCTTCATCGAGGGGGCTGAGCCTTGCAGACTTGGGGCGGGAGGGGTTTTTGTCCCCAGG